CTTTTGAGCTCAAAATTTAAGACAAGTATAAATGTGTCTAACTTCGAAGATTTTTGCTCACTTTCAATATGGCGTCTTATGGGGCAAGATTGAACCTTTATAAAATCATACAGCAAAGGAGGAAGGCACCTAAACCACGAGTTTTCCGTGATCGGTCGAACCCTTTGGAGGATATGGAGGAGGAGGAGGTATTTTCTCGCTTTCGCTTTCGACCGGAGACCATTTTATTCCTTGTCGGCATGTTATACAACGACCTTAACCATCCAACAGAGAGGAACCTGGCGCTCCCCCCTTTATTACAGGTTCTTGCAGCACTGAGGTTCCTTGCCACGGGTTCTTTTTACATCCTTGTGGGAGAATCCTTGGGCATTGCCAAATCAACGACTGGACGCGCTGCTCGCTATGTTTGTCGCTTGTTGGCGAACATGGTCGGTACATACATTCGTTTCCCTGCAGACACCTCAACTTTCAAGAAAAAGTTTTTCGATATTGCAGGTTGGTTTGATACGCAACTTTTCTACTTTCATTTTGTCAGTCAATAATACGGTTACGGGGTAATTCGTTCCTATGTACATGTTTCTACAGTATAATATCGACTATTTAGAATGAAGTCCATAAATTTATAATGTATTCCAAAATAAAAATATATATTTTCATACAATATATATCGGTCATTGTTAAACTTTGCTTTGTTCTATGTATAAGTGATACTATATGGCAGTTATCTAAACATCTAAGGTAACACGTAAATATTCACGATTTACCTCCCCTTTGTTTACAAACAAAATGAACATGTGTCAGTGACCGTGTTGTAAAGAAAGAAACAAGAAAGAAGAAAAATGTGAAATTGGGGTATTTGTTTTATTTGAGCACAATATTTTTAAAGGATTTCCAAATGTTGTTGGCTGTGTTGACGGGACGCAGATTAAAATCAAGGCACCCAGTGAGAATGAAGGAGACTTCATTAACAGAAAAGGTTTTCATTCGCTAAATGTTCAGGTAATTTAGAAATGTGATTTTAAAAAAAATAACAACTTGAGGAAGTGGCATCCTGTTGAGGTGCATTTTAATAATTAAATAAATATTGTTCTGATGTAACCTGTTTAAATATTAGATTTTAATTTTTTTCCCCACTGAATCAAGTCATCTTAATTTTCCCCAGTCACTATATATATATCTGCTACAGAGGTATGTCCTTAACATCTCTGTGGTATTAGTCACTTTCAGTATGTGCATGGAAAGAGTGTCAGTTCAAGTCTGACCATACGTGCATACAGGGATCAATCCTCCTCCACTTCACTTAATGCAAAACCTTAAAATATATTTTTTACCATCAAAATTGTGGCATATTTCTGTCATCACTAGTCAGATGTTTACGTCAACTTGTCAGATGTTTACGTCAACTTGTCAGATGTTTGTGTCAACTTGTCAGATGTATATGTTGACTTGTCAGATATTTATGTCAATTTGTCAGATAAAAAACACCAAGACCAGAAACTTGGTATTTTGTTATATTACAACATTTTAAAGCCACGTACTAGCTGACATACAGGTCTATACTTGTCATCATAATATCTGACAAGTTGACATAATTTTCTGACAAGTAAATATATTTTTCTGACAAGTCGATATCATTATCTGACAAGTTTACATAATTTTCTGACAAGTTGGCTTATCAGATGTTATGTCAACTTGTCAGATAATGAAGTTGACTAGTAGAATATTATGTTGACTTGTCAGAAAATTATGTCGACTTGTCAGATAATATATTAACTTGTCAGATCTTTATGTTGACTTGTCAGATAATATATTAACTTGTCAGATCTTTATGTTGACTTGTCAGATATTTATGTGGACTTGTCAGAAAAATATGTTAAATTGTCAAGTGATGGCCTAAACTGGGCATGGACACATTTTCATATTGAATTTCTAAACATATGAACATGGTGAATAAGTGACAAGTTAACAAAAAGATCTGACAAGTCGACATAATTAACTGACAAGACAACAAAAAGATTTGACAAAATTATCTGACAAGGGGGGGGGGGGGGGGGGCAGAAATATGCCACCATACATCTGAGATATAAATAACATTAGGTTATTATTGTCTTTGTTTGCTATTGATAGATGAATTATGTTTGTAAAATTGAAAATAGTAACATGACTATTTGGAAAGTTGCTATTTGCCTGCTTTTTCATATTCTACAAATATAAATATTTATTTAATATCAATATTTGATACTCTAATTTCCTTTTTAATGGAAAACTCTTAGCAATATATGTTATCATGGTTATGTCTTACCCATTTTTTTTTTTTTTTTTTTTTTTACACAATTTAAAGATTATTAATGAACAATATTATAGGGTCATATATTTTTTATTGAACAGTCCATTCATTATAATGAATTGATCATTTAATTTCAGATGATATGCGGACCAAAGTTCCTAATTACAAATGTTGTAGCCAAATGGCCAGGATCTGTGCATGATTCTAGAATCTTTAGAGAATCTGCTATCTGCAGAGAGTTTGAGAATGGTAGGATAGTTTGTTATCATTTTGTCCATAAAGCAAATCTAGCACAATCTCTTGGTTTAGCTAAATAGCTTGATAGCAATTCAAAATTGCTTGATTTAGAAATTTTAGAATATTTTTTTCTTTAAAGTTCATTTTTTTCAGTATGTGAAAAAAGTCGCACTTTGGAGCAATGTGAAAAGTTTCAACTTTGAACTCACAGTTCTGCATGTAAAAATCATGAAAATATAATAATCCATATGAGTATTCACAAACCTTGCAACTTTTTTCTATTTTTCTATTTGTTATTTTAAACAAAGCATATTAAACTGTTAGATGTGAAAAACCATATTGGAATAGCTTCATCATGCTATTTTGAATAGCATACTTAGTAACTCAAGCTATATATATTGCTAAATGAAGAGATTGTGTTGGACCTCTTGATAACCAATTACTAAATTGTATTTTTTTTTTTGGAGTAGCAGAACAATTTCAAGACAAATATGACACAATGTACTCTATAATTTTAAAACTCCTTTATGTATTTGTTTAAGGACACATTCAAGGTCTTCTTTTGGGGGATTCAGGATATGCCTTAAAGACCTACCTGATGACCCCATACCTGAATCCTGCAGCAGATTTTATGCAGCGCTATAACAATGCACACTGCAGGACACGTGTTCTTATTGAACAAACTTTTGGGATCTTAAAACGTCGATTTTCCTGTCTACATACTGAACTTCGACTTACACCTGAGAGGGCATGTGTTGCAGTTGTTGCCTGTTGCGTCCTGCACAACATTGGAATTATTCGGGGCGATATTATACAGAACCCTCTGTTGGAGGAAGAAGAGGACTGGGTGGATCCTGGTGCCATGGGTGCTGATGGCAAGACAGTACGGGATCACATTGCCCACAATTATTTTTAGGTATAACCATAAATTGGCACTTCTAGTATTTGCAATTAAACAATGTACTATTTGCAGTGAATATGATTTTCCAACAGCAATATTTAACTTAAAATTTGATGATTGTAAAGGTGTGTTACTGCATCCCTTAATTTGAGTAAATTGCAAATCATGGCCAAAATGTATGATCTCCTCCCTTTTTGGAGGAGAGAGCTATATGCAGACTCTGTGGGTGCATGGAGGTGATTATTTGGATTGCGATTTTAAATTTAAATACAAAAGAGTAGCATCTGAATCAATTTGAAGGTATTTATATTTTTTCTGGAACATAAATAATACAGACATCTCTTTCTACAGAAATAGCCAACTTAATGGCAAATACATATGCACTGTAATATACACTGATAAGAGCATCAAATTTTTGCTGTCATATTCACATATGTGCAATCAATGCTAAAGCATTAATAAGAAATATAAATATTCTTATGTATTTTCTCATGAATATTTTGCATAGATATGTACATATACCCACAAACAAAAAATAGCTACTATGGAGTTGAAATTGGGAATCAAATTTTGCAAAATGCATGTTTAAAACATGCATTTTGTAAAATTTGATCAATACAGGAAAAAAAATCTTTCAGAAAGCAAGGCCATGTTAGTCATAAGTCTTATAATTATTCTTAAAGCATCCTATGCTGTATGGTTTTGTAACAAACCTTTTTTAAAGGGGCACAAAAAAAATTCATTTGAATGCCATGAAGTTGGGGGATATTTATGATGATAATTTTTGTCATGTCAGTGTTGTAACTGAAGATGCTGGAATAATCTTGGGTTAAGTTCCATACCTACCCTCAAGTAAAGCAATCTTTGTGATTATACAATTTTTGCTTGAACTTTCAGTAAGGCGTGAGGTTCTCGGATATACATACTTAGCATCTCTCAAATAGTGACCTAGATTCTCATTGGTTGCCAGATTAGCTCATCGATACTGAAATTTACACAGCTTTTCATTCATTAATACACATGGGATAAAAATGGAACAAATTTCAACGAGTGACGCAAGGAACTAATGACATCGTTTCTTACAGTAAAGAGGTGTGGCTTATGTCATCTCATCATTTGTCAACAACAATCTAAAGTTGCTAATGTTATTAATTTCTTAACCAATGAGAATCTAGGTCACCATTTGAGAAACGCTAATTATGTATGGCCGAGAATGTCACACCTTACTGAAAGTTCAAGCAGAAAAGAGAATTGTACTAAGTATGAGCTTCTAATGTTCTCCATTACATGATATGGTAAGGACAGGAATTTATACATTTTTCTAAAAGTGACCTTGAACTTGATCAAATGACCTGGGTCAAAGTCATAACACACCAACAAGTCACAAGCAATCTTTTTATACCAGTTATGAGCCTCTTGTGTACCTCCATTACAAAGTTACAGACATGATCACTTGGACAGACAGACGGACATGGTGATTCCTACCCCCCCCCCCCCCAAAAAAAATCTATTTGCAGGGGGTATAATAATATTCTATGTAAAATAATTTGTAATCTGCTTGTAAAAATCTTGAGACTAGAATTCAGAAAACTGTGATAATGAAGGTAGGGAGAAATTGCATGATTTAAGAGTGTTCTTTTTTAATTCTATCAACTCTATTTCTGATGAAACTTTCTGCATCTTCAGCTTAATATAATCCATTTCTAATTTTATTTTCTCTTTCTCAGCCTCAAGGACTTCCAGATGGATGGTGTCTGTGTCCCTTGTCCTTTTCTTCTTTCCTGATCCAGCTGTCAAACTTGTGGAAGGGAGACAGGAGCCATTCACTGCACCCAGAGTTGAACAGACAGGTTTTGAGGGCCCTGGTTCACTCTGCAGAACTGGCTGCTCAACTGAAATAAAATCAAAATATATATTTCCTCAAATAAATTACAGTCATTCAAACATTAATGAATATTACTTGGAGTTTGTCTTATTTTAAATTTTCAGATAGGTACTAAATGCATCTTGGAACATTTTTTTTTACCTGTTTCAGTGGCTGGAGTGTCAAATCCTCCATCTATACCCTCTAATGAGGGTCTTCCTGAAAGGAAGGACAACATTGCTTCATCCATAGGTGAAGGTGATGGGGGCTTTGGACCTCCTCCTGTTGCTGGGTATCTGCCAGCACTGTTTATTTTCTTTGCTGTTCAAAAATATCATAGATTGATCAAAATAGTTTTAAGACTGTTTTTGAAATTGAATATTAAGCATATAATAGAATATAATTAATATTAATCATTAAATGAACATATAGAAGGATTATAAACATAATTATTGAATTTTTAATTATTACATTTATATAACCATGCATTCTTAAAACTTGAATGAGGTAGCAATATCTTAAAACTGTGTAAGATATCTTTTAAAATTTTAACTAATTAAATTACCTCTTTGTTTCAAATTAGACCATTGCTTCTTGGTCTGTTTCACTGTCCTTTTTTTAAAGACTCCCTTGCTATAAAGATTAAATTTCCACAATAAATTGACAATTAATTATTGTACATATTTTTGAGCTTAATCATCTTTCTGGAAATTTTGAATAAAAATGTATGTAAAATTGTTGCAGAGAATGATAAGGATTTGGCACACTTGAGTTTAAATGGAATTAACCAATACATAATTATATTTCTTTATGTACATGTGTATAAATTAAAATATAAATCACATTAAATTTCTCTGTTTTTATTTCCCTTTTTACTTGAGACAGAGACCCTTTTTACAAAAGAACTTATGACAAAGACCAAAAACTCAAGTTTATTTTAAAATTGTGCAAAATTAATGTTTCTGTTTAAAATTGCTTGCACAAAAATACCTTTTTATATTCCTTTTAAAAATATTAGAACCATTTTAGCATTAAAAATCTTAAGTTTTTTCGTAAAACTAGGTTCTGTTAGTTTCAAATAGCCTAAATGTCATTAGTACAAATATGTAAGGGTAGCGAATAAATAAGACACCGACTTGGATACATGTGACGCAATTTATAAACATAACAGCTATATATATATTTAGGGAAAAACCAAGAAATTCAAACGTACAAAGCTGAAACGTTTTGTTGTAAGACTGATACAATTGAGATTTATTCGCTATTGAATCTATAAAAGAGATATATTATGTAAAAATTTGTTTCCGAAATTTCGTGCAAAATGAGTACTTGCAAATTTAAAGTAATTATGCTTTTTTTTTTTTTTTGGGGGGGGGGGGGAGTTTTCTTCTTTACATTAGCATGATATTAGTCTAAAAAGTTGTTTAATATACATGAATTACTTTTAAACAAATTAAAAAAGATACTTCTAGAGGGCAGTTTCAAAAACAAAGAATGAAGATATGCAATACGTTAAAAATAGCTAAAATTAATTGTTATAGCAGGGACCTATATTAGTATATAGGTCCCTGGTTATAGCCTGTAATTAATGTTATTCGTAAGTTCTTATATAACACGGGTTTCTGCATGGACAGTAAAAATATCTACGATAAATCATGTGTCTTCGAGAAGAAAAACGTGTTCATGCATTTTTTTTTTATAAACATTTTTTTTAATTAAAATTAATTATAAACTTACGCATTCACTGCAGCCGTGATCTCTTCCCAAGCCCTGTTTTTCTCCGCTTTACCGGACTGAGCCCCTTTAAACTTCCCGTCTAGGACATCGCCCCGCTTTGACGCTTCCTCAATGAGGATTTCCTTTTCCAATTTTGACCAAAAGGGTTCATTACTGCTTTCAGCGTTTTTCGTAAGTAAAAATGATATGTCCTCCTCAGCCATATTTACGTTTTGCAAGAACGGACGCTGGAGGTAACGTAAATTACGTCAGAATGGTCAAAATGACGTAACAATTAAATTCTTATGAAAAGAAAACAAAAAACAAAGAAAAGTTTGATAATACTTTTATTTTTTAAAAAGATTGCGCAATACCTAGTGGGGTGGGCGTGACATTGTCACATGTAAACAATATCCCACAATTCATTTAATATCCTGCTTGGTTTTGGTCTCAGTTTCTGTCTCAAGTGAGAAAATTTAAAATGAGCTCAGTCTCCCTTTATGGCACACTAAAAGTGAGACGATCTAAGTTAAGCCCGGAATCTGAGATTTTTAGATTGATCTCAAAAGTGAGCTGGCGAAGTTTTATGGCCCCGGAGCCAGAAGAGCTTATGCGATAGTAAGGTGTCCGTCCGTCTGTCTGTCTGTAAACAATTTTTCAAAACACTACTCCTCCTACAGTTTTGGTCTGATTTTAATATAACTTGGCACACAAGTAGACTACAATAAGATACATAAATTAGTGCATCGGTTTTTGATTTCGATGAACGGTGTTGCCATGGTTACTAAAAATAAAATTTTCTGTGAAATTCTTTTAAAACCCTACTCCTCCAACAGTTTTGGTCTGCTTTCAATATAACTTGGCAAACAAGTAGATTACACTAAGATACATAATTTAGTGCATCGGTTGTGATTTCGATGAACAGTGTTGCCATGGTTACTAAAAATAGAAATTTCTGTGAAATTTCTTTAAAACGCACCTCCTCCTACAGTTTTAGTCTGATTTCAATATAACTTGGCACACAAGTAGACTACACTAAGATACATAATTTAGTGTATCAGTTTAGCCCAAAATATTCAAAGAGAGCTGAGAACTAGAACCCAAAGATAATAAAAGAAAAGTCCGAAAGATAAAAGTCCAAAAATGATTCCCAGAGAATAGTAAAAAGAATATTGAAAAGAACAAAAGAATTGAAAAGGAGTAAAAAGATGCCTTTTTCCGGCAAACGGGGTATTTTATACTCAGAGGATACTCATGGTCCCAGATATATAAGTACTTTTTATTGGCTGTCTAACCATTGCCTTGCCACCTACGCTTGGTCCTTAGGTCTGCCCGTTGACCAATGAACCCCAACAGGGCACCACCCTCCAATCAAGGTATACCTACTCTTCGCCACAGGAGTTCTAACCCTAAGCTGTTTTACTCATCTACTTCAAAGTTCTCAATTTTATTGCTTTTCGTCAAGAATCTTAATAATAGTAACTTTGCATTTCCGTTCAAAATTTATTACTTTATCGATGGGCTTGATTATAGTCTGTCCCACGACCGGAACGTCACTACTTTTTGCAAGATATCTCAAAATATATAAATACCTTGGCTTTCAACCTAGGTTCGATCGCTAGATTGATTTTTTTCCAAACTTCCTGCATTTATACGAACCCTCGAGGTCAACCAGTGTATTGACACGGCGGCAAATTCAAAGTCTACGGGGATTTAACATGGTAAACTCGTCCATTAGCGTCTAGATTACGGGGCGGGAAACCAGTTTATGAAGGGAGTAGTCGTTCTTTCCAAAGTAAAATTCCGAAAAATCTGAGAAAATCAAAGGACGTAATTTAAAGTGTTTTTATTAATAATGTGAGTATTTATTTGAATTAAAATATATTTTAACACTGTATAACGAGTTTTGTCATAAACGCCGAGAAAATAGTCCGCGGCCGAATATAATGCAGTACAAGTTGTGGATACAGATGTTGAAATGGCCATGATGATGCAAGAATGTGTTTTTAAAAACGTAAGTTGTTTGTTTTATTTATTTTTTGCTATTGTTGTTTTACTACCTAATGTACACACAAGAAAGAAGTGTTTCCAAATTGTAAGAATATGCCAAAACGCGTGGTATATGTATGTTTGGCATTTTAACAGTGCCCCATTAAACAGAAGTATGTGCTTAAAAAACGTAAAAAGGTTCTTTTATGGTTATAATGACACAATCAGCTGATTAAACAATTAGAAAAAAACATTAAAATAACACCAAGATTACATAAAGAAAATAACAGCTGGTTAAAAACATTATTTTCAATATATGAAAGTCTATACTTTCTTTTTCATGCTTTTGACAGTGAATCACAATCTACATGATGTAAAATGCATTTTCGTTTTACCTAATTTATTTGTAGTGTCAACACCCTGGGGAATCAATATAGAGTTTTCTATATCATGTATATATAACACATATTTTGGGCATTATTATTTATTTTTTTTTTTGTTGTTGTTGAATTTTTATTGAAAAATGTGTATTTTTTTTTTTACAAGTTCTAACATCTAAAATATACCTTTAGCCCAAAGTTTTGTCAATTTTACAGGACCGAGTTCTAAGGGTCATTTTTGTACATGTATTGATGTATAGCACAACTATCTTGGTAGATGAATTAATACACAGTGTTTCAGCAATCATGTCCTGACTTTCCACTTTAAATAATAACATAAGCAAAAGAGGAAAAAGGAAAAAAAAATAAATAACAAGTCATGTCTATATAATTTCATCAGTATAAACGTTAAGATAAAACTGAATCATTTATTCTGAATACAGACATTTTTCAGTGTTCAAAATTGCTGTGTTGTGTTTCTCAGGCAGCAGCTTCATTTTGTCTCCAAGTTCCCATACTGCTTAAATGTGGACTTAATTTGAAAATCTGTTTCTTAGTACACTGTAGGGTCTCATCTGAGTATTTCTTTTTCAAAACTCTATTCACTGGTATATGCAATTTTTTGTTTGCAATAGTTTAGTGCAACAATATTCATATAGAGATCTTTTAACACCCATATGAAAGAATAGTTTTTCTATTGTAATAAAAATAGATGGTAATTGTATCCATAGCATAATATATTTTCTGCCGGGAAACCTACAATGAAAGAGAGTTATGTAAATATTTTTATATTCAACAAAAATTTTAACTTCTAAATTCAGAACATTTTTGCAGGGCTAGAAAAATATTATTTTTTGTTTACTGGTCACTCGGGCTATCACCTTAAATTTTTACTGGTCAGCTTAGTACTTTCACTGTCCCACTGGGCCAGTAGATTTTACAAAGACTGACCCAAAACCATAATAATAATAGTAATATTTTTTTATATTGTGATACCTAGAAGTACAACAAAACAAGAAACAGCAGAAGTTGGGACACACAACCCTGTCAAGTTAACTAGCGCGACTGTGAATGAATTTTATTATGCATAAAAAAATGCTGACCCAAAGGGCACGTGCCCTCTGCAATGTACTAGCCCAGACTGAAAATTCACTGGCCCCAGACTATCGGGCCATCAATTATTTCGAGCCCTGTTTTGATGCAATAGATGCCCTGTATATACAGGTATGGCACATTCTCTTGATTCAGCAGTTTAGCTTGATTTAGCGATAAGGAGGGTAGCAGATCAGAAATCATGGCTATAAAGCAAAAATGATTTACATAATAAACCAGTCAGACTATTATAATGTCTAATATCTTCAAATTATCCTGTCTTTTAAATATTGAACAATCAGAATGAAACTTTTAAGCTTAACACACTTCATGTCCACATTTTACAATCTTTTTCTAATCTCTCGTGTATTTTTTTTGTCCCTCAGCATCCTCAGTGCTTTCATTTTTCTCTTTCAAAAATGAGTCACTCAGGTGACCTATTGCTATCCGTTCTCGTCCGTCGGCGTGCGTCGTGCGTTAACATTTGAACATTTTTAGCTTCTTCTCTGAAACCGCTTAACCAATTTCAACCAAATTTGGCATATAGCATCTATGGGTGAAGGGGAACAAAAATTGTGAATTTCATGGTCCCTGCACCCCTGGGGCCTGAGGGGTGGGGCTAAAACCACCAAAAATAATGCAATCTTTAAAAATCTTCTTCTTTACTCCTGGACATCAAGCAGTCAAACTGTTGGCATCATTGTAATAAGCATTGAGCCCTCTACCAAAATTGTGAAATTCATGGCCCCAGGGTCAGGGGTTCTGGTCCCAGGGTGGGGCTATATATATCATATAGTGAAAGTGCATTATTTCTTTGAAAATCTTCTTCTCTGCTCCTGGGTATTAAATAAGGTAGTTAAGTACATAGTTATGAAGAGCAAGAGTGCCTCTTCCAAAATTGTGAAATTCATGGCCCCAGGGTCAGGGGTTCTGGTGTTAGGGTGGGGCTCTATAGATTATATAGTGAAAATGCATTTATTCTTTGAAAATCTTCTCCTCTGCTCCTGGGTATTAAATAAAGTAACTAAGTACATAGTTATGATGAGCAAGAGAGCCTCTTCTAAAATTGTGAAATTCATGGCCCCAGGGTCAGGGGTTCTGGCCCCAGGGCGGGGCTATATAGATCATATAGTGAAAGTGCATTATTTCTTTGAAAATCTTCTTCTCTGCTCCTGGGTATTAAATAAGGTAATTAAGTACATAGTTATGATGAGCAAGAGTGCCTCTTCTAAAATTGTGAAATTCATGGCCCCAGGGTCAGGGGTTCTGGTGTTAGGGTGGGGCTCTATTGATTATATAGTGAAAATGCATTAATTCTTTGAAAATCTTCTTCTCTGCTCCTGGGTATTAAATAAAGTAACTAAGAACATAGTTATGATGAGCAAGAGTGCCTCTTCCAAAATTGTGAAATTCATGGCCCCGGGGTTAGGGGTTCTGGTGTAAGGGCGGGGCTCTATTGATTATATAGTGAAAATACATTAATTCTTTGAAAATCTTCTTCTCTGCTCCTGGGTATTAAATAAAGTAACTAAGTACTTACTTATGATGAGCAAGAGTGCCTCTTTCAAAATTGTGAAATTCATGGCCCCAGGGTCAGGGGTTCTGGTGTTAGGGCGGGGCTCTATAGATTATATAGTGAAAAAGCATTAATTCTTTGAAAATCTTCTTCTCTGCCCCTGGGTATTAAGTAAAGTAACTAAGTACATAGTTATGATGAGCAAGAGTGCCTCTTCCAAAATTGTGAAATTCATGGCCCCAGGGTC